AGATATTTTCCAGTTGAATGAACAGGGGGTGACGATGAACGACGATGAACGACGATGAGGAGGTAACGAATGCACCTTAGAAAGGGTTTGTCTGGTCGAAAATTTCATAGAAAAGGGTCCCATAACTCTGTCTTGAGTCCAAATGTTGTGACAACGTTGCCAAAAAAGGGCTGGAACGAGCACGTTACTCAAACGCAAAACTTATATTGTTTTCCGATTGCACGAAAAAAAGACAAAATGTTTTAAAACATTCAATCCAAAATTGTAATTTTTTGATTATCGTATCGTTGAATATAAAATTCTGTAAAAAATATAAGAAAAAAATTGAAAATATGATTCGTTACAAATTTTATATACATCAAATCCTTTTTTTAGTAATTGATTATTAATGGAAATCTATTTTTTATGTTGTACATTATAGAATTATATTGAAATATTAAAAGGAGATTTTTTTTTCAATTGAATTAATTTTAAATCGATAACAAATATACATACAAATAACAAACATTTACCTACTTATTTGTTACTTTTTTCTAATATTTTTTTTTTATGAGTTACCATTAAATTGTAATCTCGTATTTGAAAAATGAACTAATGGAACAAAAAAAAGGAATGGGTTCTGATTGATGTTAACACGAGTGTTACCACGCATACTGTAAGAATAGAGGGATCAAACAATTGCGTATCGTGATTAGGTTAGCAATTTTTTTTTAGTTGCATACCAACCAGGTATACGTTTCAACATTTATCACGGGTATCAGCACCTAACGTATATAATTTCATTATAATATCCCAGACCATTCGTAAATATGCACATACACGTAACAAATTATATGCGAAACGTTTTAACATAACGAGATAGAAAATTTTTAAAGCAAAAAAAAAGACTGAACGAACAATAAAAGGGGGAGGAAAAAAACGAAAAGAAAAAAGAAATAAACAGGCAACGAGATTTCAACCCTTTCAACTCTTTCTCGGCGCGAGATACGTTGGTAAAGAAGAAAGAAGGAAGGAAAAAGAAAAAAAAAGAAAGAAAAAATTCATTAACCTATACGATCCATAGATGATATTCGAAAGGCAAAGTAACAAAAAAAAAAGAAAAAAAAAGAAATGGCAACCCTCTTAACTAGCGCGACTAGCTTCCCCATTCGTTAGAATTTTTTTTTTGCTATTTCTCCGGTAGTAACGGGTAGTCGAAACGAGACAATGAACTGAACGTCTATTTCTCTCTCTCTCTCTCTCTTTCTTCCTTACTTTCTCTTTCTCTCCCTCCCTCCCTAAAACCTTTACTTCATTTTTTGTCTCACGTAGCTCAGAGACAAAAATGCCGTTGCGCGAGATTTGCATTCTCGTCTCGGGCGGAGCTAGAAAGAAGCAGCAAGGGATAGAGGTGAAAAAAAAGAGAGAAAAAAAGGAGTCCATCGGAAAGAGGTGAAGAGAGAGAGAGAGAGACAGAGAGAGAGAGAGAAAGACAGACAGAAAGAATGAGTAGGAAAAAAAGTGGCTCAGGTCTACCGTGAGCTATTATTTTAATTTTCTCCTACTGTGGCGAAGGGATGAGCGAGTAGTCGTCATATAAAAGAAAGAAAGAAAGAAAGAAAGAGAGAGAGAGAAGGAAAGAGATTCTTCTTTTACATAATCTGCGTCAAGGGTGATTTTTTCACCACCCGAAGGCCAAGGACTCTCACGGAATACAGAAAAGAATGATTTCAGTTACACCCGTTCGAGAAGAAGAAGAAGAAGAAGAACGGCCAAAAGATATTTTGCATCTCGACGAATAAAAAACAAAACCCAGCAAAGGAGGAAAAGAAACGGGGTGGGGTGTTCGACTCGGAAAGGTGGGGAAGGGAAGGGGATGATACTGCAGAGTAAGAAGAAGTGGAAGAAGAAGAAGATAAAACGGTACCGTCACCCCGAGCAAAAATTACCCTAAATAGTTGCTCTAAGCGTTTTAAGGGATTACGATCGGGCAGGCGTAAAGGCAGCCTAAGAAAAAAAGAAAGAAAAAAAGGGTTGACCACCCGCTGGGCAAAAGCGTCGACAGATTACAAGTTCGGAATACGTGTTTACAGGCTTCAAAAGCTCAACAGCCTCTTTCGATTTATTCGGCTTTCCTGCCCTACATCTTCTCTTTCTTTTCACGATTCACAACCCCTATCTTAACCTATCTCTCCATTGGGTTTTTCTCAATCTCCCAAAGATGAGGATTTTTTACGCGTCGTTGACGGATTTTTTTCAATAGTTAAATGGAGCATATAAGGTTTTTGGTAGGTCGATGCACAATGCAACTTCCGAAAGAATAATGCAACATGAAATTCGCTCTATAAAAATTATTTATAGTTAAAGAAGAAAAAAAGAAATAAAACAACGTCAAACGATATGCTCAAACATAAGCGATACGATCATTGTCGAAGGTTATGCCAGTTTTTTAAGAACAAAACTATTAAAAATCTTAACTTCGATTATCATTATTATCATTCGATTCCAATTAGTAATTGTTCGATAACGAAATATCGTACTCGAGATATTTGTCGAGGTTAAAAAATGGAAAAGAGGGTTAAAAAGGTTTTTAATGTCCTTACGTTCGTACGACCAAAGCCACGAGATATTTTTTTGTCAGCAGGGTTCGCGATAAGAAGGGCTGAAAAACGTCGATGATTTAACTGGAGGGGTTCATCATCCCCAAATGGGAATGAATATTTCTATCACTTTTTTTCTTTCTTTTCTTTCTTGCCTAGCACTCTCATCTTGATGCGCCCGTATGCGGTCTATGCAGATTGCTCGATTGTCTTCGAAGGAAAAGCTTTTTCTTTCTCATTCCAGTGGCAACAGCATCACCAGCACCAGCACCAACACCAGCACCGGCAACAGCAACAGCAGCAGTAGCACCGGTACGCTAAGGTACAACGCTACGGTACTTTACGGGCTGCCCCGTGAGAATCTTCCGTGCATTTGCATGCCGCGGATTATTTAAATCATCCCCCGGTTCTTATTGTCGTGGGCTCCTTGTTTTTTCTCCATAAGGCCTCAGAGTAAGAAAATCTCATAGGAGGTTCTTTGCATAGACCAACCAGCGTCTGCCGGCCCGTGTGACGGACAAAAAAAAGTAGGGTGCTTCCTTAAGAGGGCAAAAGAAATAAAGTAGTAGGGACAAAATGAGAAAGAAATAAAGAGACCAAAAAAGAAAGAAAGAAAAAAAACGAATCAAAGAAAAAGAAGGTATAGACAGGTACGACGCAACACATCCTTTTCCTTTAAACTACTGCAGGTTCTACACGATGAATGTTTCTCAAGAATCCCGTTGTGGTGATCCCTCTATTCGCATTCAAATATATCAAACGCACGGATTTCGGCCACAAAACTTAAATATATTATTATACTTCTTTTTTTTTCTTCCCTATAATTCGCATTCTAACGGTGTACTATTATCATTGATTCCAATAAAATAAGGAGGTGGGGAAAAGATTATAATTGTTTCGACAAAAATAGAATCGAAAGATCGAATGTTTTTATATCAAATATAAAATAGCAAGAAAAAAACAAAGTAAAAAATAAATTAAAAAAAAAAATCGTCCTGTATCCATAACGTCATTAAAAGAGAATAGAAAAAATAAAAAAAAAAGGATAGGAGAGGGTAGATGGGGGAAAGCAAAATCTCAGCGCAGTCGATTGAAGAAACATTGCAAACCGACGAATATCTGCACAAACGATCCCGTCTTTCTATCTCTTTCTCTTTCTTTCTCTCTCCTACCATCTTTTCTCTCTTTAGCCCGTTCTATCTCATCTTCACTCGCGCACATAAACTTTTTTACTTCGCCGTAACACTCCCGACTCTTTTTTCGCGCTTCCGTCTATTTGTTTTTTTTTTTCCTTTCTTTTTCATTTCCCTCTCTTTTCTTCCATTTTTTTCTTCTTTTTTTTCCTTTTTTTATATATACATATATATATACCAACCTCGAGGCAGGAACGAGGCGAAAGAACGGTAGCGCGCTATGCAAAGCGATCTTCAACCCTTTTTGACGCCCTTCTTCCATCCACTGTCCCTTTTTTCCTTCTGTCTCTTTACGCGTGTCTCTCTTTTTACCCCTTCCTCCTTTTCTACCTTTGTTTCCCTCGGTTTCTCTCTCTCATCTCTCTTTCTCATACACATATACTCTCTTCTCCGCACAAAGTTTCGTCCGTGTCTCTCTGTCGTCCTCTAATCCAGCCTCGTCTAAATTATGCAGGACTCTCGCCCGGAGACAGCGCAGAGGGCCAGAGAGTAGGGGATTCGAGTGGAGGAAAGGAAAAAAACAAAATCAAAACAGGGGTAGTACAACTCGTTTCGTTCGTGGATGCCGTGCAAAAAAAAAAGGAAGAAAGAAAGAAAGAAAGCTTCGTTCTCTTCCTATCTCTCTCTCTCTCTCTCTCTCTCTCTCTTACTCTCTTTTTCTGTCTAGCTTTTATCTTCTTTCTATCGCACTTATTGCCACATTCAATTTCATCCGAACGACGTTTTCTTTCCGTCCATATTTAATTTAACAGTTTATTTTTTATTTTAAATACTCTTGTGAATAAATAAAAAGCGTGCTCTGCGAAAATTCCCCCCCCCCCCAATATATATATGCATAATATTATAAATATACAGGGTGATTCACTAACTCTTGCCACCTGAATAGCTACCAAAGTATGATAGTAGCAAAAAAGTTTATTAAAAAAAAGTTGCATGAAAAGTTCAGAAGTATAATATGTCATTAGTTCTTTTTTACAAGGTTCAGTATTTTTTGAGATTTATAGGTCAACTGTGTTGTTTTAAGTATAATGCTATATTTTAATACTTGTTTATATATATATATATATATTAATAAATTAAAAAAAAAAGAAACTAACCAATAAAAAACAACTTACGTCAGTGGAGAGACCATTGTTCCACGGGTAAGGTGGCTGAGGTGGTGACTGTTGTTGATGATGAATACCGGCCACTCCGCTTGCGGAATGCGGATTATGAATGTGTTCCGCCATTACGCTAACCCAGTGGGCCAGGCCACCACCCCCGGTTGCAGCGGGGCCCGTTCCTCCGCTTCCGGTACCCCCACTACCTGCTCCACCTCCACCTCCTCCTCCACCGCCACCGCCCCCACCATCCTCGCCTCCTTCCGACCACGCGAACGACGCTTTCTGAAAGCAACAGGAGAAAATACGAGTTAGGATTCTTCTCGAATTTGATTACCATTATAATACTAGCTCTGGTTTTTTAAAAGTTATTTCTTTGATAATTTTTTTTTTAATCGGGTTGCGATAGAAATATTATTTATTTCCCTTTCCTTTTTTTTGTATTTTTGTAATTTATTATATTCATGGTAATAGTATAAATATTTTTTTTGGTTTTCTTGTTCTCATAAGCTTTTCGTAAGAGATTTAAATATTCAATGATGAAAATGTACTTTGTTGAAAATATTTTAGTAAGAGAAAAAAAATATAAAAACTCCGATGCAAAAATAAAACAAGAGTCTAAGTTTCTACGTCAGGCAGAATGAAATGTAAATAATAAAACGTTTTATCTACTAAGAATATATTATCGAGGAAAATATCCATCTAAGATTCTGTGTCAATCAGAATGAAACGTTAATAATGAAACATCTTTATTTTCGTCTAATAAGAATAAAAATAATATAAAAAACGAATTAATCGAAGTTTTTGTATCAATCAAAATGGAGCATAAATAATAAAAGTATCTCATCTAACTGGAAATCATTGTGAAAGAAAAATATTTCTCTCTTTCTCTAAATATCTATATCGATCAGAACTAAACATGAATAATAAAGCATTTTTTATCCGACAGAAATAGACGTGAAGTTAAAAGAAGAAAATATTAGTTTGAGTTTTCACGTTAATCAAAATACAAATGTAAGTAATGAAACCTTATTTCTTTTTGTTATTCGATAAGAATATTATTTATCAATCAAAGAAAAAAGAAAAGAATTTCAATATTTTTCCATAGATCAGATTGCACGCATTGATATCTCTAAATGATTAAAAAAAAAGAATTATTACCGAATCGAGATGAAAGAAAATTAAACTAAACGAAATATGAGATTGATCGAGAAGAAAAGGATTCTGACGAAATACTTTTCGAGCGGTAAACCTTTTTTTTTGTTACCATATTATTCTTAAAAAATACCCTCCCTACCCTAAAGTACCACCCTTTTAGCAAAGTATATAATTACTATGACGAAAGAAATAGAAAGAGAAAGAGAAAGAAAGAAAGAAAAAAAGAGATTAGTAGTTACAATCCAAGCAAGCAGTCATCGATCCTACGTGAAATGCATAAAGAATTCATAGGACCATAGAAAGTGGAGAAAACGTTAGGGAGGCAACGATGGGCGCAATCGATACGTCGTCGGAACGTAAAAAAGTAAAAAAAAAAAGAAAAAGAAAATGAAAAAAAAGAGAGATAAAAACAGAAAACTGCTGAGCCCACCACAAACGAAAAAAATAAAATATTCGTCTTTTTTTTTAAATTATTTTTCTTTCTTTTCTTCGTACGTCCTTCATCGTTCCCTCTTTTTCCTCCTTCTCCTCCTCCTCCTCCACCTGCTCCTCCACCCTCATCATCCCTTTTACCTTACAACTCTTACCATCAAACCCTTTTTACCTTTCTCTCTTTCACTCTCTCTCTCTCTCTCTCTTTACTTTCCATTCGTAACACGCGTTTGATCATTCGTTTCTTCAACAAGGTCGATTAATTGGATGGATTTAATTAGCAGCAACGCAGATTTACTTGTTAATTGCTCGCCCAGCACGAATCGTGAGAAAGCTCGTTATAAATCGTTGCACCGATTATCCGCAAAACCCCCGAAGGAAACCGAACCCCGCCTCTTTCGTTCTCTTCCACACACTCTCTTTCTTTCTCTCTTTTTCTTTTCTCTTTCTTTCTTTACTCTCTTTTTCTCTCGTGGGCTTTTTACTATAAGCAAGGGTGTTATTCCTCGGACGAGCTCCACGCGTAGGGGATGATGCGTTTCATTATTGCCAGCCGGTACTTAATTACACGCTCCCAAAGGCGCGAAACGCCCTTGGTCCCTGCAATTTCTGTCCCACTCCCTTCTCCCTTCTACCCCCCTTACTCTCTCTCACACACACTCTCCTTCTCTTTTTTACTTGGTTGCTTGGTTGCTTGCTTGCTTGCTTGCTTGCTTGCTTGAATACTTGCTTACTTGCTTGCTTGCTTACTCGCTCGACACGAAGCTGTCCTTTCGCTCCGCTTACACCGTTTTATTATCGATAACGTCGTTTACTGGCACAGAAATGTCAGGAGGTAAGGGTAACACAGAGTAAAACCAATCCTTTCTTTAAATAAATAACGTTTCTAAACGATCGACACAGTGTTTGCCGTTTATAAACCGTCTTCTCTCAATCTCGCGAAACATAGATTTGTATATTTCACTAAGGTGTTATTTTAAAAAATCTTTTTCGATCCTATTACGAATATTTTTTTCTCTTTCTTTATTTTTATTTTTCCTTTAATTAATTGCTTGTATTTCATGATTTAGATAATATCGTTTCAATTATTTTAGATTATTTTTATGACAAAATCAAATTATGTTTATCCAGTATTTTAATATTTCATTTGATAATCTTATTGTTAATCTTTCCTAACAAATAAATTACTTGAATTAGGTTTGTAATTTTTATATTTTTCTTTTTTTTTTTTGAAATAAGAGAGAGAGAGAGAGAGAGTAAAAGTAGATGGTAGTGTTTTAATATACGAGGATGGGTTGATAAGTTTTAAGCTTCGACCAAAAAAATTTTATTATGTTTTTTTTTTAATATAAAAAATGAGTTTGACCAAGAAAAATTGTTTCTATATTAGGTTTAAAACTTTTCAACCCATTCACGTGTCGTCATAGGATGCGTCATAAATTTGTACGATCATCTTAGCAGAGCCAAAAATGCGATCTCGCCAAGAATATTCTTTTTCTTAAAAGCTTCGAGGAGGGTGGGGGAAGAACGGAGGTAGGGATGGTAAAATGGAGTAACAGGAAGGTGACGCGTTTGACGTTTAAATATCGTCGATGCTTAACGAAATAAAACTTCCATTTTATATGAAATTTAATATAAGAAAAAACACAAGGATATATTTGAAATTTGTCTTTTATTATCTTTCAATTTCATATTCTTTTAATAATATAGTCTGAAAAATAAAATGAAAAAGTAATTATGTCATTTTTAATTTATTCACGAGATAATAATAATAATAATAATAATAATAATAATAATAATAATAATAATAATAATAATAATAATAATAATAATAATATGAAAAGATACGAAATTAATTATTCTGAGAATTCGTCAATTTTAAATAGTTTTTAAAATAAGAAAAACAAAAAAAAAGGAAAATAATTGTGAAAGAAAGATGATTTCCTAGAGATAAACGAAATTTATAACACCTTTCATTCCTTTTCGGGGAGGAAGGAAGGGCTGTTTGTTTCTTTTTTTCGTAATGTTCTCCTTTATGGTCTCGTTACTCGGAAAAACACGTCGCCGCACTAACCACCACTACCACCACCAACCCCTCCCCCCCCCGTTTAACTTTTTAATCGACAACGTATACTCGTCAACTCGTCCTTAACTTCATTTTGCTAAACCATTTGAGCTGAATTTTTTTTTTACCCGTTTGCCCTTTTTCATTCCTTCTTCTTACTATTTTTTTTTTTTTATTTCAAGGCAATCTCTCTCCTCAGTTGCAGGAAAAATTGAAGGAAAATAAAAGTAAGTAGGTAAGAAAAAAAAATACGAAAAAAAATAAAGAAAAAAAAAATATGGAATCGTTCAAATATAGAGAGAACGAAAAATAATGCGTTCTTTAAATATAATATAAGAAAGAAAGAAATATAGAAAGAAAGAAAATAAGAAAAAAAAGAAAAAATGTAAGAAGAATAGAAAGAATAGGAATCGAAATCGGATGGACCGAAAGTTCTTTTCGAATCTGGGTCAAACTCGCGAAGCACGCGATTGAAAGCAGAAGCACTCTCCCGCGCATCGTCTTGAAACGTTTCCCTTCTTTTCCAACGTCTATATGATTGCCCTTACGAAAAAGGGAATGCATATATACATGTACATATGTGTACATATTTATATATATATACATATATATCGAACGCGTATAAGTATATATATCAAACCCATTATATATACTTATACGCATACATGTAAGTATAGGAATATATCCGATGTACGTATGTATTTACATTCGTGTGAATATGAACACATCGATTTGATGTACAGGGTATCTCGTGTTTTTCTTTTTCCCTCCTCACAACAAAAATGTGTTACTATTATTACTATATTCTTTTATAAGTAAAAGTAAGGAAAATAAAGAGAAGAAAAAGTAATCGTTACCCAAACGTGGGCTCTTAAATGACATCGTTAAAAATATGTTTCAAATAAAAATACATTAACCGGGACACTAACGTACACGTGTTATTATACAATAATTACGACAATGGACTTCGATCGAGTTAAACTAAATTTGTATGATACAATTTATTTCGAGATATTTATATATATACCATTGTATAAGAACCTAATATAAATACCTATATATATATATATATTATCAATACATTTTTAATTTTTTTTTCCAACTAACAATCAGTCAACTTTCGTAATTATCGGCTTATACGAAATAATAAAACACTTGCGCGTAACTTAAAAATTAAATTAAAGGATGGGGAAATGAAAAAGAAGAAAAATATCGACGATTAACTACAGACGTCGAATGAAGTATAATATATAATAGCTAACCTCGTCGTGATCTTCACGATGGAGGGCGAGATTTCTCGGGAAGGCGGGTACGCTACTAACGGTGAGTCCCTTCAAATCCTTCAAATCCTTCAAATCTTTGAGTGCACCAAGAGCGTTCAAGTTGTCCTTAAAATTGGCCAAATTAAAATTAATACCTTGTTCCTTGAAATTGAGATGCCTATTTAGCACAGTTTTACCGAGCGCGCTAGCTAATAAACTGTTGTAGAGCTCGTTTCTTAAGATAAATTTTTGCTCGGTTGGTGCTTCGTCCTTGCTCGAAAGATCGTTAGATGAATCCGAGTCAACTTCGACGGATGAATTCGACACGACGCTCATCGTTGACATCTTTGCTGTTTCTCTATCTTTTCCTCCTTATAATTCTCGAATTCTTTTTATCTTTTGCCTACTTTTAATCTTCGTTTTATTTTTATATATATATATTATTTGTTTTTCTTTTTCTTCTTTTTTTTTATTTTCACCGTGTCAACGATACCTTCTTTATCTATTTCTTTCTATTTTTTGTAACTTTTGTTATTTAATATAATTTTTATATTATTTCGTCGGGGTAAAAGACAAAAAGAAAAACAAAAAAAAGATTATTTTCTTCACGCAGAAAGACAAACGTTCGATATCAAAGATTACGGCGAGAGATTAACAAAATACCTGTACACGTGTATATGTATAGGAATTTATATTTAAATACGCTTTTAAAATGTATGCGTGTGTATATATAATATATATATATATATATTTCTTATTTATTTATTTATTTATTCATTCATTCATTTATTTATTCATTTATTTGTTTCTTCCTTTGTTTATCTTCGAATCGATTAAGAATTTAAAAAGATCGAGTCGCGGGGACTATTTAAAGATAGTAGATTGCTTGTACGAGTCCACGCGGCGAAAGATTCGACGATTTTAAATCTTCTTCTTGTATTAGAAACTTATGGTGAAAATGATTAGTCTCCTACGTTGCCTTCCGTAACAACAACGTTCACAAACAAACAACAACAAATTTGTAATCTTCAAAAACAATTTTTAATTTCCATTCCTTGTTATTATTGGAATAGGAATAAAATAAGAAACGATAAATAGTAGAGGAAAATGATGACGACGATGATGATGATGATGATAAAGAAGAAATAAATCCTAAAGAAAATCCTTTTCACCGCTTTGGAGGGAATGAGGGGCGTGGGGGTAGTAGGTAGCCTCTTCTTGTTCTTTATTGCCTTGAGGAATTAGAAGCCATAAGACACAGTACGTTGCTTATTTATTTCTCTTGTCCTTTTCTTTCCAGGATCTCTCTCTCTCTGTTTCTCTTTTTCTCTCTGTTTCTCTCTTTCTCTCTCTCTCTTTTTCTTTATCTATCTATCTATCCCTTTTCTTTTCTTCTATCTTTCCTTTCTGTAGAAATTCGTCCACGTATTGCAAGACAATTTACAGCTAATCGTATTATTACATCGCTATGATTGTTAAGGGACCTAATAAGACATTTTTATTTTTTTTCTTTCCTTCCTTCCTTCCTTCCTTCCCTTTTGTTTTCTAGCTTTTTTATTTATTTATTTTTCTTCCTACAAGTTTTGTCTATGTTAATAAATCGTTTGGTTGATTTTTTCGTGCGTTCAAATGAACAACGTTAACGTTAATTATGCTTCCTTAAACTAGCTATCTTATCAATCGATAATAATTGTTATTTAAATATCATCGGCCGAGCTTTAAGTTCGACCGGAAAATTTCAAAAAAAAAGCTTGCTTTGCTTTAGGAACTTTTGCGCGCGCAGCTTTTTTCGCATGGCCGCGAGCTTTCTAATTGGCTGGCTAATTAGCGCGGGAGAAGTCACCTCGTTTCTCTTCTATCTGTTGTAGTAGCAACACGAGGTTTCAACGTGCCCTTTTATACTTCTATTTATTTCTCTCTCTCTCTCTCTCTCTTTCTCTTTTCCTCTATCTCTTTCTATTTTTGTTTCTCTCCTTAACCTCTAAACTTGTCGCTAAAACACGTGAAAAATAGGAACTTTAGTTGATCGCCACCGAGATCTTAATTCTCGGCATGGACTCTTTTTCTTCTTTCTTTCCCACCCACCCCCTCTCTCTTCTCTTCTCTCACTCCGCTCTCTCTCTCTCTCACACACACACACACGCGTTCAATCCTCGTACTTCATCGTTACGAGTTTTCTTTGTGCGAAAATTTGGAACTTCTCCTCCAACGTGGCCCTCCTCCGCCAGGTCGGATATCTCCGGCGGCAGGAAGAAGAAGCACAGGAAGAAGAGGAAGCACAGGAACGAGAGGACGAAACATCGTCTCTCGGTCGAAGCATTGATGCTTCTTTAACCCCTTTTGTTTCTCTTGTTTTCTTTCTTTCTCTTTCTCTCTCTCTCCTTCTCTTTCTCTCGTTTTCTGTCTTTTGTTCTCTTCCCCTTATTAGATTATTTGAAAAATGTTGGATTCTTGAACGAGATGACAGATTTGCCGCCGAATGCACTCGATGCTAGGATCAGTGCTCGTTCCATGACGATGATTGGTCGATCGGTCGGTCGGTTGATTGGTTGGTCAAATCGCGAAAGATAAGACGAAGATGAACTTGTACGGGGATCCGAGAAAAAGATGAAGATGAAGAGGCCTCTCGGCCGTATCCGTGAACATTCGGGGTGTTGTTCGTGCCGCTTATTCGAGCGCGCTTGCTGCAATCGCTTTGATGATATAGCAGTCGGGTGGGGTGGTGTGGTGTGGTGTGGGGAGAGGGGTGTAATGGTGATGAGGGGGTAAAGTCGGCGGTCAGTCTCAACGGAGACTTCGTTAAACGCGTTTCGAGCGCGTTGCGAGCTTGTTTTTTTCGTTTTTTTTTTGTTTTGCTTTGCTCTTCTCTTTTTTTCTCTTTCTCTTCCCAAAAAAATATAATAAGAATAAAAGTGTTAGAACAATGTAAATTATAACAATAACAATAAGAGTATAAAAAATAAGAAGGAATAATAGTAGTAATTTTAATATTTATAATGATGAATAAGGATTATTAGAGGGGTTTATATCGGATATGATAAATAAAATAAATTATACCCGAGAAAAAAAAATCAAAATTCTTTTAACGCGCGTTTTTTCAATAACAATAATAATAATAATAATAATAATAATAATAATAATAATAATAATAATGATAATCACGCGAATCACTCTTCGCGATAATACAAATTGGGAGTAATTATAAACTCGCGCGGTATTTTTTATTTTGGTTCCTTCTCGAATTCGAAAATCGTATATCGTAGGGTACCACCGATGGACGAGAGGTGGTTTTCTTCCTCTCGGCCCTGGCCTCTCGAATCCTAGTTTCTTATGTGAGCGCGACCGCGCGACTGGTTGATGCAGTCCGCGGCGGAGCATAAGGAAGCGGAAGCTCGACGTTCTTCTCTCTCTCTTACTCTTTCTCACACTCTCTCTCTCTCTCTCACTCTCTCACACTCTCTCTCTCTCTCTCTATCTATCTCTCCCTTTCGGTCTTTCTCTCTTTCCTACTCCTACTCAACGTCTCCTTCCCTCTCGATCACCCCCCTCGTCCTCTTTCTTTCTCTCTCTCTTTCTCTCTCTCTCTCTTACTCGGAGCCAAGGAAAGGCGCGCACGCTTCGCCGCGGCCGCCGGCGTCGTCGACGTCGTCGTCGTCGTCGTCGTGGTGCCCTCCGTCTCTTACTTCCTTTTTTTTCTCTCTCTTTCTTTCTTTCTCTTGCATTCTTCTTCCTATATCTATCTCTCTCTTTCTCTCGCTCTCGTGATCTCACTCGCGCGCACATTTCCTTCTTCTTCTACTCCTCCTTTACGGCAATACCGCTGTCTTGCTCGAACTTACTCTAGGAGAAGGTAGTGGGTGGGTTGGTAGGTTGGTGGTAGTGGTAGTTGTTGGAAGAGGAAAGAAAGAAGTTGGAGAAGGTGGAGGTAAGGAGAGAGAGAGAGAGAGAGAGAGAGAGAGAGAGAGAGAGAGAGTCTCGGAGGCGGCGGAGGTGGAGAAGGTGGTGAGTAAAAAGAAGTAGATGAAAACGCTAGACGGAGAGAGGGTGGCTAGGAAAGGAAAGGAAAGAAAAGAAAAGGAAACGAAACGAAACGAAAGGATAGAGGATAGGATAGGATAGGTGAGGAGAGTAAGAGGGAGGGAACGTAAGAACGAACGAAAGAAAGAGAGAGAGAGAGAAGGCCGACGAAGAAACAGATAAATATAGATATTTTTCCTTCGGTCGAGCAGCTAAGGGGAGAAGGGGGAGGGAGGGGGTGGAGGGAGAAGAGGGTGCCAGAGGCAAGAAAAGAGTAAGAGGTATGTAGGAGGGAGAGGGTGGAGCGGTAAGGGGGAGGGGATAGGACGCGGCCGCTACCCGCCCTACGACCGAATTGGAAAAATGGAAATAATAAGAGTCGCCTCGTAGGGGGTTGCATGGCGGGCTCGCACGAGCTTCGTAGGGGGTGTAGGAGGAGAAGACGCAAGAGGGGTGGTAAGGCAAGGGTACGAGTTGCCGGCGGATGGGGTAGCGGGAACTCTGCGCAGTGCAGCATGCGCTCTGAAGCTACTAACTCGGGTGTTAGAGAGAGAGAAAGAGAGAGATAGGAGTAGGTGCACACATCGATTGGGTTACGTGTGTGAGTCTCACGTGTGTTCGAAGGCGAAATGTGCTGTGGAGGAAGGTGGGGAGGGGGTTGAGGATGGTCGGTAGTCGTCGTAGTCGACGTCGTCGTTGTCGTTGTCGTTGTCGTTGTCGTTGTCGTCGAGCGTTTGTGTACACGAAAAGGGGAAATGCTTTGATGGGTATGTCGAAACCAACATGGCTACCATACGAGGAAGAACTTTCGCGCATTCTTCGCATAAATTAACACCTCCACTCCTATCCTGAAGGTGTGTAAACAGGGATGATTCCAGCAATAGGTCTTATACCGTTAATCTTCGTAGCAAATAATGTTGTATATGACTAACTAGAAAAATTGTTTTCAACGTAAAATACGCAAAACTGAACGTGTTCATAGGTTTATTCGTACAATTTTTCGCGTATGAAGAAATAATAATGACGAAACGAATTACGTTAAAAGTATTATCATTGCCTAATGTTATAAGAGAAGTAAGAACGTTTTTTTGTATTCTATTTTTCTTTTTTTTCTATTCGATATACTTAGAGAGGAACAACTTGTTTTGTTCTTCGCATTGGTTAGAATAGAGAAAGATTCGTCGCATGAGACACGCATACGCCACTCGAGATGGAGAAAAAGGAGAGAGAGCAGGTGCTACCGATTATGTTATACACCAGACGTAACTCGGAAAAGAAAACGTGACTCCCCTAAACTAGCTAGGGTTTGCCTATCTCTCTCTTTCTCACTCTCAAAAAAAAGAAAGGAAGGGAATCCTAGAAAGATGA